ATAAAAATAAATATATAAACTGGTGGAAAGCCGTAAAATTGACATGAGAAATATCAAGTGATTTCGTCGCAAGAACCGCAGCAAATATCAGAAGATTAGATTCAAAATTCTTGCTAATAGCTTTGAAATACTTCAAGATATTTATTCAGTGAATCATTTCAATATGACATCTGAAAATTTGACTGTTGGATATCTTAACTATTTTTGAGTGAACGTTTCGTAAATCATATTTGAAGAATCTAAACTAGATTCTTTTTTCTATATTATAAATAATATAACTGCTTTGGAAGATACAGATAGGTCGAAACATAGTTGATAGTAAAGTGTTGATTCATGAATGTGTTAATGAGAATGTTATATTCGAGATGATCAATTTAACTGCTAGATAGACTGTACAGTTTATTTCTTTACTAATTCTCTCTGGAGCATCATAATCTTTCAAGTTGAAGTGAGTGAAGATGGGTTTTCTAGTGAGTGCAATTTCGATACTTATTGTCTTCATTTTGATGGATAGTTATTGTTTCTCAGACATGTTACAAAGTTCATCAATTTTCTAGAGAATAGTAGTAGTAGTCTGATGTACAAATCTTTATTTCTGTTCAACCACAAAGGGTTACAATTAGCTGATGAGAATGTAATGTAATCAAAAATACAAGTTATATTCGTTTTTTCTTTCATGATTTATTTGAATTTATGAGAGTTTCAACTATGGATTTTTGCTGCCTACAAAATACAAACTGGAATAAAATTCTTTATTTCATAAGGAAATGTGTCTTAGCCTACAATTATAGGAATTTTAATTTGGTGGGAATAGCTTAAAGGAAAATAGGACAAAGTAAGAAAACTAAAACATTCTGGTTGAGAAGTTTTATGGTTTAACAGTACTGTAGAGCTTTGTGTGCGTCCGTATATTTTAATGTATCTGCTTCTCATTTTGCCGGAAGTTATATGAGATGTTCATGGAATAGTGGTTTGTGTCTAATAGCATAACACTTGCTAGTTGTTTTCATACTGACTATGAAAAAGTCAAATGTTCACAATACATATCAGACTATACTTATTCAAAGCTATATATCAGACCAAAAAAATAGGAACCGACGTAAACTGTTGTTATATAGATAAAACAGCTTGTATTACAGAATATATTAAAAAAATCAAATTCTCCGCATTATTTATGTCCGTATCAGAATATTTCTTTATTGAATATGTGAATCTTCTAGTGATTCATATAAAGCTATAGAATTTAGATCAGTATAAAACAGCTATGAAAGGTTGAACTAAATACCTACTATTCAGCGGTTGTTGTACAGACAATACGTCGATATAAACTCTCCTTTGGAGTAACATTTCATGTTTCATTACATAAATCAGTAAAAAAAGATTGACTACATATGATAAATTTTTGCATTACACTTTTCAAACATATTTGTAAACTGTACTGAAGACGTAGAAGTCAAAGTAAGGTGAAATATGCATGTTTTAGTGATAAATGACAAATGAATTACAAATACGTATTAAAAACTGGGATTAACCAGATATCCGCTGACCCAGTAACATTACTCAATGTTAAATGAGCTAAAAAAAAGAAAGTTTAGACCGACATAAGGAAAATAGTCGATGTGACAGGTTGGTTGCCACTTGAGATAAATATTATCGAATGAAATCATATGAATACAGAACTTAAAAAAATTTCAAATAATTGTAAATGTGACTAGTTTTTTTCAACAAATCAAACAACTTGTTCAAAAGTCAACACAACGTTGTGGAAGTCCATTTATGCTAAGCATTTGATAATCATCCAATACGATTTATTTACTTGTTTAAGCACATACATTGGTACAAAGGGGCACCAAATATATATGCGCTACACAAAGTACTTACCATTTGGTTTATGTATGGGCTCAGATACTACCCGGGTGCCCAAACTGAAAAAGGTGGTATTTTTAGAGGGCCACTCTCCGAGCCTTTGGCATAAAGTCTAATCCACAAAGCAACGTTGGGAGATGCAGTCCTATGGTAGCCGATGCTCAACAACAGGTTCATACTCCATTTTTTTCCTCAGGATCCTGAAGCCCATGTACACCATTGGTGTGGAATCAAGGTTTTCCAACGTTCCTAGGTGGATCCCCATATCCACCAACCCTGTTTAAGCGCCTGATATTCTTTTTTGATTCTCTCAGCTTCTCAAACATTCCCATTTTGAGAGGGCAGTAAGTGGGACTTCCCTGTCAGTGGCTATATGTGACTAGCCATATGAGAGCATTTCGAGGAGAGCGGACCCTACCTACTCTCGGCCGCACCAGGGTATTCAGGGGCTTTGATAAAATAATGGGCTCTAATTTACTATGTTACGAACAATATGTCAACAGACTGAATAGTTAGTTTGAACTTTGTACATATACCATGACAATAAATGCTACATGATAAATTTTGACATAATACATGGTAACCAGTTAGTTAGAAGTATCATTCAGTTCATTTGCTTGTCAAAACCATATATAGCATAGAATATCGAATAAATGTGTAGTTATTCAACTTTCTGGATTTTACATCAGTTCAATGAGAGGAATTTGTAAAGAACAAGAAAGAAATGAGAATGTCGGTGAGAAATGGTGAACTAAACACAAAGAATACAGTCCAGAATTAGGAAATAAGAAGAAAGAATGAAAGATATGTATTATCACCAGATCCAAGATTAAACAAAACCAAATCTGAACGATCTTGACCGACTTTGGATTATGTCAAACTAATCCGTTGGACGATGGCAGTAATAAAAGCCAAATACGACTTAAATTAGTTTTTTTCAGACAGAAAAATAAGTCGAAGACATGCAATATAGAAGGTAAGGGATAATTACACACGCACACATACGCTGCAACTGTAGATCATAATTATATCATCAATTTTCATCCGATCAGCATTAAGTGTAGTAGTAGGTAACTTTATAAGCCAGCGTGACAAAATGTCTGAATCACCTCAGTCGATGATGGATTACAGACTCATTAGTGAACGTTTCATTTCCATCCAAAATATTACGTTTGAAATAAGGACTTATCTATTAATTCATCTGGGGGCAGTTGGTGGAAACGTAGCAGAGACTATGAAGAGATAATCTTACTGACCAATTTAGCCGGATGGAGACAAAGGGGATGTCTACTAGAATCCGATCCAGGAGTCCCTGTTATACTTTAAAATCTTAGTCCATATTTACAATAACAAGGTCATTTAAATTTGCAGCTCAGTATATAAGCACATGAGTGAATGGCCGTAGTTCCTCGTACTGGTTAAGTGAGGTTAGTGAATTACCACGATTGGATCCCATGCGAATGTTCCGAAGATACATAGGATTCAGATATTGTAGGCTACAACACACAGTTCGGAGTGATTTCAGGAGACCAGGAATAACATTAAATGAACTCGAACAATGGTCCCACGTAAGGAAAATGTCACAGAAATAGATGGTTTTCGGGATAAATAAAATGTAGAGAAAAATACCCGGGTAGGATGACCATGTGTTATTAAAAATTGGAAGTAGTTGTCACATTCCGAGTGTCCGCACCGTTGGGAGATATTTTTCCCGCAAGGACCTAAGAAGTAAACTAAACTAGTAGTGTAGTGAACAAGGACACTAGTGAGAACAATCAGATGTGCGCAGCAAGACATTACAGGACTGGTTAATAAAATCCAGCAATCATAAAGTAAATGCTTAATTTGCAAAATATCCACCAATTGCCTCAGAATGACTCAGACTTCATTGTTCTTGCATTTTCATACAAATTGCATCCTGTTTCCATTCTTTACTGTTCGACCCTCTTGTCTCTCTGCTGCCAGACCTTCTGTTCACGACTAACATCATATACTACTTATGTCAATATAAGTAGCACACACCATAGTAGGAGTCTTTTCGACCTGCTTTCAAGAGACGCCTGTTTGGAGCTGACAACACATGGGGTTTTGTGAAATGTTTCAGATAAACTAACAGTGTTCTTCAGACCTTAGTACAACCATCGGAAGCCCATGGCAGAAGGTAAGATACGCTTTATTTTAAGGCTGATACCTCTTAGGTTGTGGCAAGACAGAATCGGTGAATATGTAGCTTATTCTTGGGCAACATTCTTCTCTCATTATATCCCAGTCGTCGAGACTTCGAACTCAGGGTTTTAAATTTATTTCATCTAATCCTATGGCTCTCTAATCGACCAATAAAGTTATAGGACTCCAATAAGCATGCTTTAGTCAACATAGCCCGTTGCGACAGTCACTCAGCTTAAACTTCTGCGCCACTATTATTTCAAAAGTGTGCAGTTATGTCCATAAATTTCTCAGTTCGGCTTTGTCTTAGTCCAATATTTATGTTTCAGTCGCATATACTTATACGTTCCAGTAAGATGTTTACAGACTATCGCGAATATAATTTCTGTGAAACTCAAAAATTATTACCAGTGCGGTTCGTATAACTTCCTCTTGGCTGTTCTTAAGAGAAACTAGAGATGATCAGTATAAGGATCATACATTGAATATATTAGGTGATGGAAAGGAATGTCATGGGATCAAGAATATTAAACATTTATGGAGAAACGTGAATGGGAGTTAATGATTCTTTAAAAGCTTATTAGGGGAGTTTGTAGTGATTTGTGCCGAGAATTCTTCAATGTAACCAACCATGAAGTAAAGTGGATATTATTATGGAGAAAGCACCTGGCCACTGCTGCAAGGGAGCAGCTATCATTGAGCTATCGCAATTCAAAATGGTGATAATTCGCTAGTTGCTTATTTTATTTACTTATGAAACGTTTAATATTACTTGAATATCACTGTTAACTTTTGATTCCTATGGATTTTCGAAGTGTGAACTCATTGAATGATTACTCAAATCATCAGTATCGATTTGTGGAGATTGTTGCGTTTTAACTGAAATCACGAACCGACCAATGTTAGGTCCCGAATGCGGGGTCGTGAACTGCTGAGGAGTCCCATACTATGACGAAACGGCCGTTCACTGCTTCAAGGTTTTTAATGGTGGTCCAACATTAATCGACTATTCAGTTATTTACTCAGCAGCTCATATATGTATGAAATTTAGCAAAGACCTATGTTCAAAATTATAACTATTCACTGTTCAAACTCGAAAAGTTCAATAAATTTCTGTCTTTTTTATAACAAAAAAGTTTAAGAGTATATGCGTGTGTAATGAGAAAGAATGAAACAAGCACATAAAACTGAGAATGACATTAATAATGAAAACAGAAAATAATTATAGTTACCCTACATCCAATAAATTACTCTTACAAGACCTGATAATGGAATTAGTAATTATTAATTTTTGGAAAAGAAGAAATAGATCATTACTAATATTCAATATATATATATATGTTCTTTACATGAAAGATGTTAATTCTATTCTCTAAAGAAAAAACAAATAACGTAACAATAACTTCACTATGCACTCAATAATAAAGTGCAAACAATGGATTTGTTTATTTTTGCTTCTCTTTTCTTTTCATTGGATGGTTTCAAGAACACCAGGGAGACATATCGAAGAATTAAGGGTTGTAGAATTTCAGGAAATAAAGCACACAATTAAAATAATAATAATAATGTACACGGTTATGATTATTAGTTACAGTTGGTTAAACTTAATAATACGAACATAATACAAAGAGTGGCAATAATAATAATAATAACCAAAGCATTTATAACAACAGTCTTCGTGATAATATGTACGTAAAAAATCATTTTTATGTGCATAAACAGCTGTGTTCTGTGTGTAAATTGTAAGGGAATACAATTAAGCTAAGTGCTTGTGAAAGATTAAGAAACAAAAAATTTTGAGAAGAAACACAAAAGAAAGACAAGTGATATGGGCAAAAAATCTATCAATTATACATACATGAGATTTAAATCCTGATCACCAATAGACATATAAACAGTAGTTGTGAATTTCATCATCATCAACATCATACACTAGGCTAAAAAAACAGTGTAAAAGAGGTAAACGAACTTATCAGTGAAGTTAAGCCTATATAAAACGACTGTGACAAGATCAGGCACAACATTGAAAATCACAGAAAGTTAAACGGTATAGGTATCGGAAGTGAATAGGATCAAATAAAGCCCTGAGAGTTACTACCACCACCACTAGGACCACAGGAGTCATATGAAGGTTGTTGTCTTAATGATCCGTGTAAGTTTGAATGTATCATATGCTGTGGGAGGTCTTGTGAAGGGATAGCATAGTGAGGTCCAATACCGTCAACTGAAGTATTACAATTAATGTTAGACAGGCTTGGACGGATATGTGCACTTTGATGACCAAATGTTCCATGTCGATTGTTTATATTTTCTCCTTGTGAAAGTACAGGTGTGTGTTGATGCTTTGGAACATGTGACTGTTGATTAGACATTTGCAAAGTGCCTACATTAGGTGGTCCAGGAACAAAACGATGACCAGATGGATTTGGTATATTGTTGGTTACCATATTGTTACGAGACTGATAACATGTGTAACCGCTTCCAATATTACCACTTGGTGAAAGGTGAGTTTGTGACTGTGTAGCCATATAATGATCTCTTTGATTAAATGATTGAGGTTGAGAATATCCTGGGTTTTGTGGCACGATATTTCGATGGTATGAATTAACAGAATTAGATGGAATAGTATTCTGGATTCTTGAACCACTTGGAATAAAGTGGGACTGAGGTTGCTGTTGCCCATGAGAGAGTACATTAGTAAGTGGAGAATTGTGGATAGAAGTTTGATCTAACATAACTGAAGGATCAGTCATGGAATTACATTGCACTGGAACTGGTGTTGGAGCATTAAGGCGATCTAGGTTAGGTCTTGAAAGAGGATGACCATGGTAAGCAGTGGTATTACTATACCCAGTGGATACTGCAGATCGTTGAGTAACAGGTTGCTTGTGAAATGGAAAAATAAAGCATATTTTAACTAAAACGATAAAAAAATCACGATGCTAATAAAAACTACTTTGACACTGAACAATGTTAAATGGAGATGAGATTGTTTTAAAGAGAGGTCTATCTCGATATTTGTTTCATATTATTTTTTTCTTAAGACAAGATTGTAAACATTTAATGTTTTCTCTACATCTGGATATCATAAAAGTTTTAAAATTCGTATAGATAGCAAAAAAGCAGAAAATTAAGTCAATCTTATTCGAAAACATTCACCAGATCTAACATGAAAATCATGAAAAATTAACTTATTTCACTTGAGGGAATTACAAAGTATACTTCTTTTTAATTAAACGTCATGAACTTAAAGCACGATCAAACAGAGTACGAAATTGTGCATGTTAGGAAGACCCAAAAAATTCTTTGAGAAAAGCCCAGTGGAGACCTGAAAACTCTGTGAAGTATCTTATCCAATTAGTATTCAATCAAAGCTCAGAAACATCTAGAAAGTGAAAAGTCACATGTCACATTTCTGACTGGGTGATTACCTATCCTTCTTCTATGTTTAGAAGAGTTCCAGAACTTCCCAGAAGTCCAAAGTCAAATGCTAAAAATGTTCGAGATTTTCTATACATAAACTATCCTTGGAGTAAAGCGTTCTTTCCAAACTCCGCACCTTTTCTCTCAAGTTCAAGATGCCGTATAGATTTGACATCGATATTACAAGAAGAGCTTAAGAAACCGAATCAAACGCTCAGTTAGAAGACTTATCAGTACACTGAATAAATGAAAGCAGATTACATAATATTCCAATTAGTTGACTACTGATAAATTCCCATCATGGGTCACTACTACTGGAGTAATCACGTTACTAATTTTGATACTTCCATTTTTCTCAACAAAGAAAAACAAGTCATTGGATGGCATTTTCAACTCGTCATGAGTACAATCCTGTGAAAAATGGGAATCTTCGATTCGATGCTGTTCAGCTTAATCAGTATGTTATGTATATATAGTCAGAGATGGTAGGAAATGATATGAAAGAACCCTATGTATTAATTGGAAATGCGTGAATTTGATATGATAAACGAGGAATTCACTTGATACCCAATAAAGGAAATTTGAACAGTACCTGAATCACGTGAGAATTCTGACCAGACTGTATTGCACGTACAGACTGGTTTGGTATGGTATTATTTGAAATCGAAAGTTGTTGATTCTGATGAGATACAGTATCAGTTCTATTAGTTATCCATTGAGTTGATGTCTCTGATTCTAATGGATATTGTGGCATATAGGTAGGTCCAGTCTGTAAATTATCATGCAAGTTATGTGGTGATGGAGTAGATCGTTGATTCAATTGAATAGTTTGATAAGCAGTATTTCCTAAAATTTGTGATTTCGATGGATTTTGTGCTTGTGAATTAACATGTTGTGGCATATACTGTGGAATATGTGAGGATTGATTTTGATATTGGTATGTAGGATTGACGGAATTACACGGACTTGGATCACGAGGTGGAATATTATTATTATTTGCCATCTAGAAAATTTACCAAAGACGAAAGATGGAATAAGTATCCTTTAACTAAACTGAAAAATAAATTAAACCAAGTCAATAAGAGCTATGGGAACTTACTACACAAGGAAAGTAATGTACGAGGTACTACATGGATAGATATTTTTATCACCGAATGAATTTACAGAGAAATAGTATACATCCAGTTAAATATATTTCAAATGATAAATGCATTAGACAGAGAACAACTTTTCATGTTTTATCTACATAAACAGATAAAACGACATTGGGATAATTTATTGACTGATGTTGAGGGAATAGGTGGACAAATATTGTGAACATTTTCAGCAGGTTTTTTTCACTACAAATTGATTGAAATTAAATAAAAACGTGATCGATACAAACACCAATATATTTAGCTTTAAGTTAAGTATTGAGATATAGTAAGGTAGGTTTAACTACGAGTAGTACTGATGAAGCCTTCATTTACTTCAGATTTTGATCCATGCTGCCACATGCTCTGGTTAATTCTGTTGGATATAATATTTACTTGTTAGACTAATTAGTATGAATTATTTGACTATATCATTATAATTTTAGAATGGTTAATTGTGAATTTCAAGTATTACTCTTTGTTAAATGACGATCCTTTGAAGTCACAGGACGTATGTTGTTTTCAGATCCGTGATAAATAAAGTATTGAGAGAAGCAATCATATTTACTGTTGAATATGATTCATTTCGTTGGTCAAATTATATTACAATGACTTCTGCAATTTGTTGTAGACTATATATGACCACTAGGTAAAAACAGGCCATTTTCAGTTATATACAACCCCATTTTGAAATTTAATATGAATCTGAATGATTATTGTTATCAAATACTATTGACAGAATAGAAGTATTTACAAAGTAGTAATTAAGTTTTGAAGGTTCAGTTTGCTTTGTGTTGTCCTTAGAATAAAAACAACCCATAGAGCTTCCTGAGAAGAGATGTTAAACAAGGTTAGCGGTACAACCTATTTACTGTCGTAAACATTGGTGAATAATTTGTCAGTTTGTCATACAGACAAACACGTTATTGGAAGATATTTTTATTTTTAAAAAATAGGAAAATATGAAATGACATCAAACTAATAAGAATTATTTGCACAAAGCAGAAAGATAATATTGTGAAACAAAAGGGGAGAAGGATCGTATAATTAGTGGAATAATGATCATAGTTATATTGAAAATATCAAAAACAGTTGGGAGTTTATCTTATTTTCATGAAGTGAAATAGAAAACTGTATTGGAATCGAAACTAGTTTCTATTCTAAGACATATCAGATAATAGGCCTATCTATAAGAACCCATTCAGAGACGTGGATGACCGAAAAATGATAATTTAACACCTATCTCGTATTTACACGTTGTTACTTCGGATTTGTATAGCCAGAGGAACATTGAAACAACGGTCAAGATGACTCATAATAACACAAACCAATCTGGCTTTCACTATGCATAGATTGATTTTGTCAATCACACCACCATGAGCACTCACACAAATATTCAGAAAAAAACTCTTCGAGTATATCTAACGGCTCCCCACTAAAAGTGAGTGTAGGCTCAGGATCTTTCCATTCTTGCAGAAGTAATATGGATTTAGGTGTAAAGTATAGATCATTTTTACAGTTCCTAATCAACATTATGGTTGACAAGACACTGGGAAAACTTTCTACTGATTGAAAATACCGAAAAAAGTCCAGAACACTACTGCTCTCAAAGCCACTATCCATTTTCTCTTGAACGAAAGTGTATAAACATTATGATCACATGAATCATATTTGATAGTGAAAAAAGAGAGAAAATGAAAGTGTCAATTGAACTGAACCAGAGAAAAAGAATATATATATTTACACACATTCTTTTTATAGATCCAAACGAAAACAACTAATCAGGTGAAAATAATGTAGTAAAGAGTAGTTGCCTAAAAAAAACCACAAAATACCGTTGCTTATTTCCATCAAGACAATTTTAATAGATTAAGGACTAACAGGAATAAATATTTTAATAAAAACATAGTGTTTGTGTGAATATATATATATATATATATATATATATATATATATATATATATATATATATTTGTATGTTCAATAACTACCAACTAAAGAGAAATGTTGTTATTTGCATTTCAACATTACACTTTTACACAGATAGCCTTAAAGGTTTATTGATTAGATTATTATCTCATCAATTGATTGTATTCTGTTAGTTCTCTTATTGTTAACTTGGTGTTTATTTCATTACATGTATTTGAAAATATATATATTGTTTAATCAATAATCGACACACAATTAAAAATCAGCTCCTTATGGAGTAGCAAAAAACACTCATACATATTTGAAATTCCTTGTAGTTATAAAACAGTTCAGAGGAGAAGAGTTTCTTCAGTTTGAAACAACTGGTCTGATGGAATAACGTTGTGAACACGTGAAATGTTACTTTTAAGTCAGTAAAAAAATAACTAATTAATGACTTACGTGTGGTGTATTCATGTACTGAGAGTTTATATTTAACATAGTTCCTGCACTATCAACATGTCCTTGTGAGAATGTCTGGGAATTTGAATGAACCCGTTGAAAATGATTCCCAGACAGATTACTGTTCAAATCAGGAGTCATGTTATTAGATGATCTTGTATTCGTATAACGACCCATTACAATATCTTGTCGAAATTGTTCAGAGTCATACGGTACAAAACCTATAATAATGTGGAAGGAAAGTTTGAAAAACAAAAACGGCAGTAACTTAATCAGTTTTACGGAAACTTTCTCTTGAAAGACTATCGAGTACATTGATGTGTGGAAAACATTCAAATTGAACAAAATAATAAATTAATAATCAATAGAAATAATAATTATTCAATCATTTAGTTGAATAAAATAATTAATACATGTTGTAAATCTTTATCTAAGAAAAAATTCATTCATCTATAGATTCTCTTACAACACTATGTGTTACTTTTACACAAGTGAAGAATATCAGCATGTATGTAATTTTTAGTAAGCATAACATTTTAATTCAATGGTCAATAGTAAGAAAAAAACAAGCTATACAAATAAAAGTAATATGATCCAGTGAATAAATACAATAATAACGAGATGAATTACATTATAACAGAAAATATGATTGCTATCATCCTACAGAATCACATACATTAAAGATCTGTGACAGACAGGTATACGACTGTGAAAAATCACTGTAAAATGAAGCTGTATTGTTGCTTGCTAGTTAAAGCATATAGCTTAAAACTGTCACGTCTCAGGCTATATATATATATATATATATATATATATATATATATATATATATCGAACGGTGTTAATGTCTAACTTCAACTAATCCACGAGACTTATAGGTCCTGTGTTCGAGTCCCGCGAAGCGGTGTCGTGGACGCGCGCTGCTGAGGAATCCCAAAATAGGACGGAACGGCCGTCTAGTGCTTTCAGGTTTTCCACGGTGGTCTAGCTTCAAATGACTCATGATCTCAACTATTGAAATTACTACTATATATATATATATATATATATATATATATATATATATATATATATATATATATATATATATATATATATGAAGCAGTTGTCCCGGAAAATAATCTAAAAAGAGCATTTTGTTTTCATCCTGAACTGTTGTTATACATAGCATTCAATTTATTATATTTGCTACTCAAAACTCTGAAATCAAAAGTGTCACATACCAATTCAACAGAGAATTATCTTATCTGAGTTCAGAAAAGCACCTAAATTTACAAAGTGAGTGATATTTCTTTAGTAACCATACAAAAGAAAAGAGTATTTTGATATATCTTTTAGAAACTTTTACCAAAACAGTAAACGTGACTTCCAGAAATTAAAAATTAAGCAATAAAATGACGTTGTCAATGCATTATGATAAATTAATTATTGTAATCTATACAGCGATCACATATAACAAGCTATTAATACATGTTAACATAAGATACTGTCAAACATAAACTCATTTTATAATTAAGATGTGAAATATTTATCATTTAGAACAGTAATTCAAGGATATTTCTAGAAAATAGAATATACCTTCTAGAAATAAAATAAGAATTTCTTGAAAAATGTAGGATGATAAAATTTCTTCCAATTAATTTGATATTCATTTATATTACGTTAGGAATTTTAGAATTTAATGATTGCTTTGAATGTGTTATTTAGATTGCTTGGAACAAAGATCGAAAAATGTTTGCAAAGTTCAATTGTTCTACTTTTACAAAATGTACATTTTTTCACAGGCAGGTAAATTTGTACATACAGTTAGGGAATTGCAAAGGATATCTACTCATTTTTAATAAGTTATTAAACATGGTGTCATATGCAATGGGAAGTAGCTCCTTCGATATATGAAACATGCTACTGGTCGTTACTTGAAATTTTTGATGATTATTTCTTGGATGATGCTTTTAAAACACTAAACGAGTGAAAACATGTTTCTACTCAAATTTATTCGCTTACGTTTTTATGTATAAGTATACTAGCGTAGCTTATCCTCCCAAACAGGACGAAACGCGCGTCCTGGATTCCACTGCTAGTCACTATCCATCTTTACTTCTGTTTTAGTTTATTGAAAGAAGTATTCCACGTATACAATAATACTGGTAATATGAAATATGATAAATTCTTGAAACCTTAATTACAGTTAACCATATTTTGAATCATATTCCATAACAATTGAATACACTGGACAATAACAATTAAATATGCTTAATTAGTTATGTAGATAAAAAGACGTATATATATTCTTGTTTGCGGCTACCAAGGTACATATTCGTTTATCTGCTGAATTTCTAAGTTTAATAGATCTACAGAGAATGTTAAAAGATGCTCAACCATAGACTTTAGTCAGTCAATCTTGAATTTATTTACATAAATTGACGTATCTTTGTGTATTGTAATTTCTTCGTGTAAATGTTAAAAATATTCAGCAATTTCGTTATCAATATGAAAACCTTATAGTTTACACATTCTTCACCTGAGTATATAACGATTGGTGTGATGGTAAACATTGGTAAAATAGCGATAAAAACAAGTTTTTTTAACATCGATATTTGTAAACTTTAAAGAAACATAATAAAAATGTCAAGATAATTGGGTTTTTATGATTCCATACTGAGTGCAGAAACTACTGACAAGCAATGGCTTATAAGTTAAGGTGATCGGACTTCAACCAATAGGTATAATGATAGAATCGTACTTTGTGCTAGTTTCACATTCGAGCAATTAACTAGACTCATAGTGTGTGCGTTTCATGAAATCAAACTTCTAACAAATGAAGCGCATTTGAATGAACACTTCGCCACAAACCTAATTTCTATAAGGCTTGGTTAAATGTAAAAACAGGTAATAATTCAAAGTCTAAAGAACCTGATATTTTCCGTTACAACGGAGAATTAAGTGTAAAACAGTCATGATAAGAACAAAATAAGATATAAGAAGTGGAAATGAGAATATTTGTTCAGATTTAACATCAGAGCAAGTTGTGATAAAGACTATGATAACGCGGGAGATTTATCGAACTGCTCTTTTTATACATACGACTATGTGAAACTGTGGATGAAAAAAGTCAATGTACGGTGAAGTAGGTTTAAGAGTAAAACTGTGATGTTTTTGAGTATGTATTTTAGAAAATTTGGTACATTTTTCATTAAACTTTTTATCGTTCGATAAATGTGCGATATCAGGGATTCTCTTATATGTTCTTGGATTACTTAATGGATGTGTAGTGGTATTTAATGTAATTTTCGCTGGAGATTCCATTCCAAGACCCAACATCAATGTTTGCAGTTTTCGTCCGGCATTTTCAGGTGCGATACACTGTATTTATAACAGACAGATGTCGATAACATAACACTAGTTAGAACTACATTCAGTACACAAAAATGCCCGAAAATGATGGACACTATATACATATTGAACAGTTATTGCAGGAAACTTACTTAGACATATATATTTTAAAAAACTACTAAACTTTAATCATATAATCCATCGTTTGAACAATAGGATAAGTTTTCCACCTTTTCCAATTTTGACTTAATGAAGGAACATGCTGAATAGAAATGCTGGACTTCCAGAACTACTAAATAGTTGTATCAAGATACTATTATATTTCACGTACTATAAGCTTCAATTTGATTCGCGGACTGATGTTTTACCCTATGTATTTATTGTTAACTAATTACGAACCTATTATTCAGTTTTTCTTTCTTTACGGAGTAGTCTTGTACAAATCGTAATTTCCGAATTGCATTGCACTGTGGTTAAGTGTTATGAGTGATCTGTACAATAAAAACCTTATTTGTTTACCGTGCTCGTATTTTGTCTCACTATTGGGCTATAGAGGTACGCTGTGTCTTGGACCAATATGCGTTAAGATATTCATAAATGAATTGTTCCTTTAATTAACGACCTTATTACACAATAAAAGAAATTATTATTTATAAATCACAACAATATGAGCATTGTCATTTATTTTTTTAAAAAAATAACACATTTACTATTGATAATAACAGTATAGATCCACTTATGTATGAGTGGTATAGATTTTAATTCAACATTACAGCGTGTATATATATATATATATATATGTTTGTATGCACTTGTTATTAATAGAAAAAAATCAAGTATATACAAGAACAAACTGACAAAGTGCAAGTACACAAAACAACAAGTTAATGATTACAATGACAAAACAGAGACATAAATATAATAAACAAGTATTGAAGAGACAAAACATAAGTGTATAAATATATATAAGATATTATATGAAATGAAAACTTCATAAAAGCAATTAAAAGCATTGACATATATACACAAATATGTGTATTTTCACAGTTAAAATGACGAGTAGATTTAAGTTAGACCACCATTGAAGCACTAGACGGCCGTTTCGTCCTAGTATGGGACTTCTCAGCAGTCAGCATCCACGATCCCGAAACGACTACTAAGTTTTTCCAGGTTTTCAACGGTGGTCTAGGTTAGATCGACTCGTGATTTCAACTGTGAAAATACTACTATCTATCTATCTATCTATCTATCTATCTATCTATCTATCTATCTATCTATCTATCTATCTATCTATCTATCTATCTATCTATCTATCTATCTATCTATCTATCTATCTATCTATCTATCTATCTATCTATCTATCTATCTATCTATCTATCTATCTATCTATCTATCTATCTATCTATCTATCTATCTATCTATCTATCTATCTATCTATCTATCTATCTATCTATCTATCTATCTATCTATCTATCTATCTATCTATCTATCTATCTATCTATCTATCTATCTATCTATCTATCTATCTATCTATCTATCTATCTATCTATCTATCTATCTATCTATCTATCTATCTATCTATCTATCTATCTATCTATCTATCTATCTATCTATCTATCTATCTATCTATCTATCTATCTATCTATCTATCTATCTATCTATCTATCTATCTATCTATCTATCTATCTATCTATCTATCTATCTATCTATCTATCTATCTATCTATCTATCTATCTATCTATCTATCTATCTATCTATCTATCTATCTATCTATCTATCTATCTATCTATCTATCTATCTATCTATCTATCTATCTATCTATCTATCTATCTATCTATCTATCTATCTATCTATCTATCTATCTATCTATCTATCTATCTATCTATCT